TCGCGAGCCTGGCTCGCATATGCACCGTCGTGGCGCCAAGTTTTGTGCACACGCACGACGTTCTCCCGCTGTCTCCAGAACCCACCCACTGACTCTGTACACTCTGTTATATAGGCGAGGCCCACGTGACCTACTACGTCACGCCACCCCCTCGCTTGTTATAACAGTGAAAAGCTTCTATAAGCCGGAAACTCCCAAAGCCTTGTGTCTCCCGTTTCCGCGTTCTTCCCTTTACGGAAAAACCCTACTTCCTGTGGCTAGGCTAATCCCTCCCAAGCGTCCCCAAATAGATGCCATGAGGCACGCTGGCTAATACGTTATAGAAGTTGGTGAAGAAAGCTTTATGCAAAATAAAATTATAATGATGAAACTACACCAGAATTTTTCATTTCTGTTACCGAAACACCACACCACTCCTAAAAATAAGATTTAATACATGTGTTTTTGCAAATTCGTTATATCTATTCCGTGACAATAAAGAAGAAACTATGGTTACAGGCTAACGGAAATGACAATATATTCGAATAAAGCATTTCATGTTGCATGTTGCTGATAAACGTGTCGTTACTGTATAACAGTTTCATGACGATTTCTAACTAGTAAAAGGCAGTGCTGAATGTGAATAGAGACGCTGAGAATATTTCCAATTATAGCTACAGGTAATATCTACTTTTTGAAACAGACGTAAAACAGAAATTTGTGATGGAATCAGGATACAAATTACGACAGTTTTGTCATACGCACGAGCCTGCTATTGCAACAACTAAACAATGATACATATTGCATTAGTTTACATTTGTATTTTGGACACATTGCACGTGGCTATATTTCAAAGCCTGTCTTTCAAGTACAGATTTCATTCAGAAAATAAATGTCTATCTAGTTGAAGAAAGGTGACGAAAAATTGGAACTTTTGCAATTTTCAAAAAATCAGGGATTTTAACCAAAGTACGGCTAACACCATTTTCTCAAGAGTCCTTCACGCTCTTCAAGGACAAAGAATAATAAAAATGAACCATTTTTGGGGAAATTTTGAAAATGTCGAGGCTTTATCTATAGTACTCTCAAAAATCGTAGTATCCGTTACCAACTCAAAGGGACTTCAGTTCATTTCAATCGATTGGGAATATCAATTTTGGAGATAATTGACTGAACGGTTTATGCACCAGGGTTTATCACAAACAGAAAGACAGACGTTTTGGTGTGAATCGATTTTGTGGTTACCAAGTACAAACAAAACATGGTTCTGCCTACATGATGTGTTAAAGAAAATAATTTACTACAAATGTAAACAAGATTTACGTTGCATACACTTACGATTCACATTAGGATCTTATTACAAATAGGAAAAAGATTTGCGTTGAATACATTATGATATACTTTATCGTGGCAAGGGTCTGGCAATAAAAAGTTTCCTCTCGAAAAATCGCCATTTCCCGGCATAAGATTACAATACTACGGCATAAGATGAGCCTATACGTTGGATAATGAGACGAAACGAAACGCAAGTTCTAATGCTTGGAGAATAAGAAGTGGAGATTAAAGAGATAAAAAGCAATTCGTAAGAGATAAAAAGCAATCCTTCTACAGACATCACAGCAATTTCTTCGGAATTTAAATAATACTGTCTCCCTGAATACACCGACACAGAAAAAAGTCAGACCAAAAGACTTTACACGTGTTTCTGTATGTATATCGACGCCTTGTATCCGAATATGAACTCAGAATTGCGCTATATCTCTTCATTTTTCTATCCGCAAAGAAACGTCCTGATATTGTATTTTACTGTCCCATATGCGTATGTATATATTGAGTAATATACATAGTAAAGGGAAAGATATGAAAATAGATTTCAGGATTTCGACCGAAATACACGTTTTGGGGTCCCCTGATACCGAAGTGTTGTTTAATTTTCAAAACCTCGGCCGTCGGTCCGGCCGTCCGTTCGTCCGGACGTCCATTCGTCTGGTGACTGTGAACACTACTAGCGCCTAAACCATGCGTAGGATTTTTTCCAAATTGAAGAAACCCGTGTCAATCTGGCTCGAGTCGAATCTTTGGGATCTTGAATAAAATTCTGCGAAATTTCTTAAAATCTGCTCCAATTTTTTTTTCAATAAATTTCCTGTAAGAATACTGTAATATACATTTATAAACGTGACATAAGTCTGATTTTCACGGTTAAAAATTTCAAAAGTATGAAATATTTTTGGTGTTTTCGTACAACTACAAAATAAAAGATAGAGATTTTCCCTTCAAATAATTTGTTTTCTCCACAGTGAGTTCTTTCATTAACGTCATGTACAATTTCGAGAAAATTGTAGTAGTTTTCGCGCAATATTACATGCAATATGTGCAATTCAATGCAACATGAGCAATAAATTGTATTGCAATTAAGTGCAATAAAAAAATTACAAAAGCAAGATTTTCTCCAAAACGGCTCCCGATTTTTCTTCAAACTTTTCGTAGAAATAGTATTAAATGTACTCTATATGATGACATAAACATCATATTGCTCTATTCATTTGTTTTATCAAAAATTACAAAAAATTATTTTGTTTGACTTGACTCTCATGTCAATATATGTGTCCATTTGTTCACATTATTGTAGTTATACAGTACATGTTCTTTAAATAATGTCCTATTTTTAATTTATTTATTTATATATATTATTATTATTTATAATTTTCTCAAAATCTCTACCGTTTTCCGTGAAAACTAGCTCAAAACTCCGCATTTTCGGAAACGCTGAAACGCTATTTTCTCAAAAAACGGCTCCAAATTTTATCTTCAAACTTTTCGAACGGATAGCGGTAACTACACTTTCTAATATGTCGTTAAGTTAATTTCGGTGTATTTTTTGGTTTTTCACAAATTACATCACAAAATGTAATTTTTTCGAAAGATCTCTCACGAGGTTGATATGTACATTTCCAGTAATTTGTAAACACTGTTGTTTTTATGAGTTAAAGAACTTAAATTAACTTTAAATTAAGTTTTTCGAAAACTGAAAAAAAATGTAAAAAACAGCATGAAATTTTGAATTTACAGTAGCGCTTAAACGCCAGTTTTTTAAAAACGGCTTCAAATGTTTCTGAAAAATTGCCATTGAGGACGAGGTTTTACTGTTGTTTAATAATCTTGAAATAATATTGCGTTCTACAATTAGGAAAACGAAAAATTAAGAAAATGTCAAAAAATATATCTAACCGTAACCAAAGGAAATAGAAAATTAATACTGGAAAGTCTGTGCCATTCTTTAGCATCTCTGCCTTTGTTTTCGGAGGTTTACAATCTACAATTTCACGGTGGTTTTTCGTGATTTAAATACATGGAGGGTGGAGCCGCAATTCTGGCTTCAGATTCGGATTAAGCGACAAACAAAGAAATATGTGCCAAGTCTTTGAGTCTGATACATTTTTTGTCTGCCTGTGTTATTAGTGTAAAGTGTACTATTTTCCAGTTCATCTACTCACTAAAAAAAACATGTATGATGTTCATGTTCATAGTTTACACACAAAGAGTTTTTCACGGACGGATAGACGGGTAGACTGTTGTGACGAGAAATAGTATTTAGATATCGGGCAGCCCCGAAACATGTCTTTTGAACAAACTATGAATTTAGAATTTTTTTAATCATTATATTAGATTATCTATACAACGTACATACCTACTTTTACTATGCTTTATTCCATATAACGAGATAGAACTCCAGAGGACTTCGTTATCTCAATCATTTTATTACTTTGAACTTTATCACAAAGTATTATGGCGTAAATAGCAACTGCGATGTTTTATAAGAAATGGCTTATCACGTGACAGTGAAGAGACTTACCTGCTAAAGATCTTGATGATCGCATTAGTTGCGTTTAAGTATTGTGTGTACTAAAACCTCACGGCGAATACTGAACATAAATATATCTCTTCTCAGAGATATAAGAATGTATAGTCATTGTTTTCTCAATAAATAAAGGTATATGAGCTACGTTGTAAATAAACGTATGTGTGTTGCCGATTATTTTCTTCAAACTTAATTATTTAAATTGTTTTTATTCAGTCGTGCTATTTTGAAGAGAATTTGTAAATTATTTATTCATATTTGTATAAAGAAATGATACGTAATTCATTCTCCAGCAAACTCACTTACCCCAATACTCACTTATTCCCCACTCACACACAGCAAAGAACGAGGGGAATGGCGGAGACGGGGAGCGCGAGCAGTCAGGGGTGCGTACGGAAAGAGAAGTTGACCGGGAGAGGCACGACGCAAGACAGTGCAGCAGGAGGGGTGAAAGTAGCAGAGGAGTCCAACCAGCTTCCATGCTTCACGCTAATGATTTTCTGCGCCCTCCTGACCAATGCCAGGGCCCAGTCGCCCTCCGCAGACTAAGGGCCACGTCTTCTGTGCTGGTCGCACCACTCCACAAGATTACCTGATCAAGGGGGTGCGAGTTGGTTGTGGAGAGGGGGGGGGGCAATCAGCAGCGACCGGGCGTGGGCAACGAGAGGGGAAGAAGAGATCGCTCGTCCGCCGTGTCCTGTTTTAATGGGGAGCCTAATGGGGCGGTGGGCACAATGCGCTGGCCATTCGGACGGGCGTCGCGGGGAAATAGCGCGAGGCGCCGTGGCGGCGGGCTGTGAAGGATGGCGCGCGGGTGGGCAGTGGCCCACGCTCTATCTTTGCGGAGGCCTTCTCTTCCGGCACTGTTCGAATAGACACATTCCATCAATCTGTAAAGAACGTTGCTCCTTTTTTCATTTGTTCCTAAAAATATTTTTATGCAACACTAGCATCGTTACACAAAAAATACACTGTGAGCCAGTAAAATGCATTTAAAAAAGTGTACACTGAAACCCTTTTGTACTATATACTTCTACCTCATATGTCGTGTACAGTTTTTACTGTGTTCAATGAAAATCAAACGGATTCATCTCAAGATCGGACACTTCTTCTTCGTGCGGAGAGAACGCGGTATAAACTACATAAAGCAAACTTGGGAATGGAGGGTGGCAAAGCAGGACGACGGGTTGAAGGGTGGCAAAGCAGGACGACAGGGCAGGGCAGCAGTGCAAGGCGAGACGGCATGACGGCAGTACAGGGTGACAGGGCTAGGTGGCCGGGCAGGGCCGTAAGGGAGGGCGTCAGGGAAGGTCGACAGGGCAGAGAGATAAGTCAGGGCGGTAGGACAGAACGGCAGGGCGGCAGGATGGCAGGACGGCATGGCGGAGGACCACGCCTCCCCTCGCAGAGGGAACCTTCATAGAGGCTACTGGGATTCGAAATGTTCGAATAAGCGCATTCTATAATTCTTTGAATGCTCGAATGCTCCTTTGCCATCTGTTGTTGAAACGAAGAGGCTGGTCTTCAGTTCCAGTCACATATAAACGATGTCGCAGAAGAAAGGAAATAATTATAATGGTCTGGGACCATTTTGCTTAAAGAGGTGTTGAAATAGCCGGGAGTTGGGTATTATTGGAAGCTGCTCAGGGGCAAGCGCCTGGGGGCTATGTTACCCGCTGTTCAACGTTGTCTAACCTTTAAGTTGATTCCGCACTCATTCATGCTGCACTGTTGACGCTATGACATGATTGCTGACATTTTTTTCTGGTAGATACTTTGAGTATTTTATTTTTAAAATATCTCACGCATAAGAGTCATAATTTATAGGTATTCTTTGTTAGTCGTTATCGTCGCGCCAAATTGAAGTATCATTTTGACACCACTCCGGACTATGCCACACCCGCAAAAATGCCTGTAATTATGGAGTGAGTATGCAAGTATACCAGTTATTATGAAATCAGGATACGTGCTAATTTTTCAGGGTTTTCTTTTGCACGTTTCCTAGCGTCTGTGCTTGAGCCGATTTTCTGAAATAATCTTCCAGACAAAAATTCGATTTCTTCCTAAACATTTTTAGCAAAGTACAGATCTAGTACTAAACATGTTGAAACATATAAATGAAGAAATGGATTGTCTATTTGTAAAAAATCCTAAATTTTTCACCTGAAAAGACTCCGGAATAATAACTTTTTAATGGTTGATTTTATTGCAATAATGGTTCTGTACTACTTTAGACGTAAAATTCCCTTTAAGTTAATTTTATAAATTATCCATCTTAATTGAGATATGTGGTTTTAATATTGTACTAAATTTTCCGTTAGAAATTTAGAGCAACGTCAGAATAAAAAGGAAAGTTAAGTATAATTTTAAAATCGCGTAGCTCTCTTACTTTCTAGTTAAGATAAATAACTTATAAAACAAACTTGGAGAGACTTTTGTGACATTGAAAATAGTACATAACCGTTTTTGCACAAAAATCAACCATTAAAAAATTTACGCAAAAAAACACACACACACCCAACCGAAAATGTCTTTTTTGGTATATCAAAACGTTTCCAGAAGTATTTTGAGGTTTATTTTAGAGGTAAATCTTAGGGTTTTCTTACTAACACATATTTTGTCAAAATAAAATATAAAATATTCTACCTCACCTTTTGCAATGTAAAATGAATTACCAACTACTATAAAGCCATATTTCCACTTCATTAGAATACTGAAAGTTATATTGCATGCTTCGTGAGCATTTGTTACATTCGAAATATAACTTAAATCAAAGTATATTATTTTTTAATTATTAAGTTTTCAATATCAAAGTCTTTATAATTTTGGAATATATTACCTCTATTTAATATTTTGATAACTCAATGTTTCCTTAGTCCGCATATACTCCCGCAAAAATAGTAGAAATCAAGCGAAAGTCTTTTGTGTTGTTAAACTGACAGCTATTTCCAACAAAATTATAAATAAGAGATTTAATTTTTTGTGCTTTTGAATTTCTGTACCTTAATCTGTAATAGGTCCCTATTGCTCCCATTACGGAATGAGAAATCCCTGGTCCAGATAACCCGGAAATCAGTACCGAGTAGAACCTGCTGGACGGGTTTCTGGCGAACTACTTCCCACGGCGTCCGCTCTTCATACACGACCCACACCCTTAGTACGGACCGTGGCATCGCCACCCTCCTTAGCATCTTGTTTATGCAGTTATCATCGAACATCAGCACTTTCCGCTCTTAATATTAGATCTAAGCTTCGTTACATCCTCTTCGCAAAATACACCAGAATTTTTTTAGCTACGATGTCGCTGTCTCAGGTGATTTCTCTGGTCTAGTCAAGTACACTCTCAATATTGCAGATTTTTTTATTAGTCTAGGATGCACATTATGTGAACGTTTGTATACGATGATCAAGTTCAATTTGTTTACACAATAATTTTGCTATTCGGTTGTAACGAAGTACGCATAGTCCACGCCTTAAAAGCCCATTAGCATTGTCTCTATAGTATTCCATGACTTATGTTTTCTGTGAAAATTACATAAATATAGTGAAGGTTGTCTCATTAACTTTTCACACTTTCAACACTAACATTTTTTCAAATGAGTATTGTCTTCCCATACCATAGATTTACACACAGGTCTATACACATCAAGTGTATAGATATCCAGTTAATATATCGTTGACATCAAATAGAGGAGCCATCAAGGACATTTACCGCAATTTTTTAAAAATTTGGGCTTTTCTCTCAATATCTGGTACTAAAATCTTGAGAGTCGTGTATATTGTATTCCCGGTTCTATTTATTAAATTATTACACTTTTATTACATATATAGTAGGTTTTATTTTAAATATAAATTGCAAAGAATTGTACTTTGTTATCTCTACAAAATGTAATTTCAAAAATAAATTATTACAAAATAAAATGTATCCCCAAATATGTTTTCTACAACATAAATATTTTAATGTATTACTCGTAGGAAATAACTACTCAGTGAGATATATTTTCATAATAATTACTGTAATTAAGAATGAGAATAAATTTCAATAAAAATTACGCGATAAGGAAAAGGTAAATCGTAACATTATACTGCAATATACTGCATATTAAGGAATATGAAATACATCTTGAACGCCATTGACATTTTGGATGTTTGTTTGAATTCACATCTTATGCGTATTTTTCTTCTTGCGACATCTTACCAGTTCCCAACTAACATTGTCGCTATTCTTTGCAGTTGCATAGCAAATTGAAATGGTGCAAAAAAAAATTGCCGATTTTTTAAGGATTTTGCTTCATAATAAAATCTGTTCCTCCAAGTTAGAGATCTAGATAAGTTCAGATAGAATTTGTCGAAAAATATGTTAAGTTTTAGAATCATTTTGCGTGAAATATAGGTAATTTTTAAATAGATATTCTCTCAAAAACTGTTTTATATTTTTCTTTATTTTTTGAATACTAGTTTTTTAAAGTAATGTTGTTAAAATCGCGTTCTCACTATCGGGAAACTGCATTTTTGAAAATTGCAAAAAATTAATCTAGCATAAATATTGAAGATCGAGATATTTGTCTTACATGAAATCTAAAAATCGGACCTTTGAAACAGTTCATGTACAATTTTTTAAACAAATCAGTAGTTTTTGCGTAATCTCCATTTGAAGTTAATGATTTGTATAAAATATTTTCTCTGAAACGCCTAAAAATAGCGTAAGTGTCAATTTCGTTGAACTCTCTGACTTTGCGAAAATTGTAAAAGTTACAAATAATGCAAGCACGTATGTGCAGTTGTGATATTTATAGTTAATATGATATTAAGAGTTTAAGATGCAGATGAACAAATATGTTGTTGCTTCACAACGTCAAAGTTAATTGAAGTATATTCTCAAATTTCAAGAACATGAACAATAGATCAATGATACAATTTGCTTTCCTCACTATTCATTTTTGTTGAGCGAAATTCAAATTTAAAAATCATACACTGTTTAGAAATTGTTGTGTAACCATAGTAGGTTAGATACTCTGTGTCATACGGTTTTCCTTTTTCCGTTCTGGAACCAGTTATTTTCTCTATCCACTAGATGTATCGTATACTTCTTTAACTTTATTCTGCCAATACTGTTTTAATGTAACATCTATCAGTGATAACGTGCAAGCATACAACTGCCCAATTTTAACTTTTCACTTTGATGCCTACGGTACATCTCAAAACTCTATCATATTTCGTTTTTGTCTTCCAGATTATTTCAAATGATACAGAAAAGTACAACAATATTGCATTTGAGACATACAAACAGATTCAAGAAATATTATTTGCAAAAATCACAGAATCGTAAACAATTGAGCCTTTATTATGACAATATATAGCGTGTTTTTTTTAATATTATCGGTTAATTATATTCCTATAAGCTTTTATCATTGCTGATACAGTTCTTTCTTAATTTAATAATTGCAATGCGAAGGAGAGAAACGTCATACATCACTAATGACCTTGTGTGTGCGTCCTGCAAGAGCGTTCGCCTAGAAGACGTGGTGAAACTGAGGGAGCCTGAGTGGGAGGAGCCGTCTCCAGTAATCCTCTCCGTGCCGATGCGTCAGATCGATGCGACAATGCAGCCGATGTGGAAAATTCACACCTGCCCGGGTTCGAACCCAGGACATTGCAGCTCGGTGCATGCGCGCTGAAAGCTCCGGCGAACTACTCCACTAGTGGAGCCCAGCTCATAGAGAGGAGAAGGGGGATTTGGGGACTCAATATATTACTCGAAATTGTTTTACCTCAATCTTTTGGCAGGATGTAAATGCGAAGTACGTGTGTCGAAAATACCTCAATATTTTAGTTGAAGCTATTATTAATATAATTATTAGTAATAATATGATTGTGTTTATAATTATTACTAAATTAAACATTTCCCTTCTTACTATATTTGTTACTAGAAAATGGCAATGTCCTTTTATCAAACGATTAAGAAACAAATATGCCCTCGGATGAGTCATTGACAGCATTCTACCTTTTCGTTGTGCGATTCCGTGTTCGATTCCTGGTTGGGGAAAATAGAGCTGAAGCTTTCTAATACAATCGTCTCAGTTTCTATAACTGTGTAACGAAAGGAAAGCTCAGGCAGGTCAAGTATACTAGATAAGGTGATGGTAGCAAGTTCGCCTTATGTTTCCCTTACACCACGCGTAGATAATAAAAAAGAATAAAAACCAGTCCAAACCTGGGAACAGTGCTAGCTACAAAGTCGTATTTATCTGAGTCTTAAGTGCCAAATACATACATACGATTAAATTAATATAAAATCGAACATAAATCTCGTGTGGGAAGTCCTCTAGTCTCTTGTAACTCGTTTAAGATATCTTTCACTAAATGTAGATCAATAATGATGTTAGTAGTTGTTATAATACTTTTTTAAATTAGCTCGTATGTAATTGTTATTCAACCACTTATGTAGTTTCTTGCTTGCAATTGAAGGTTGTGTTCTAAATAATTCTATTGATCACCGAGTTTGTTTTCAGAAAGAAGATAAACACTTCAGTCCGACATGCCTTGCCAAAGAGAAAAGAAATGTTTTCGTAATAAAGCCTCATTTGCAACACCATCACAAAACTTCACAAAATGTAATGCCTAATCAGTATGCCAAGAATGTTTTGTTTATTGCACGTCAAAAAAGAATTAAAACTGTCTATGACGTATGGAGGAGAAAGGCGGTGTACACACGTTTTCTAGAGCTCCGGAATCCCTTTCTTCACTCTTATAGTATACTATGTAGAATTATGAAGAAAGGTAGTAAGGAGAGATTTTAATAAAGCTTGATAACAAAGAATGTTATGTAATGTTGATAAAATTATCTTAATTTTAACGCAAATATACGTCAACATTTTTTATTAAATCTTCATTTACAATCTTTTTATACATAAGATCAATAATTAAATTTGTTGACTTGATGAACATAACTAACAAATTTATTGGCACGGAATTCCATTTTGAATATACATATTTTAAACTATCATTTTTTTATTTCTTCATCAACTGTAAGCATTTTAAAATTCACATCTATTTGATCATATCAGTGTGCATTGGAAATGTTTCTTAATACTTTGAATTCTTTGAATGATTTGGGTACTGGCTTTGCTACTGAAGCCTGAGCGCTGTATGCAATAAGTCAACAGGCTTTAAGAATGATTTATAAATGAGTAATTTATAAATGACTACCTAGACCGAGCTCGTGAATAGTAGTACTACTGTAGGCAAACTATAGAAGCTTTCAATATTATTCACATTGTAGAAAGACATTAGGATGTATACAAATGAACCTCAGTAAATAAATACGTTATATTTTCCAACGATTCCGTTAATATGAAAGTTTTTCATAATTTCTAAAAATTCTATTATAGTTTCTTAGGTAACATTTATTCATTAATTTCAAAACGTAGAGCCACGGAAGTGGTGCAAAGTAAGTTACGCATACTAATACATTACTTTGCTCATTGTTCAGGTTCAATTTGATTTCTTGAGCTTTAGATTGTTCATCGTCTATAAGGAGTGGTTTTAGATGGAATGATACTCTTTACAGAAATACATAGTGCGGTTTGTAAGTACCGCGTTGAATTTTTTGGAGTCCTCCGTTTAACTCTGTTGAACTCTGTTCTCGGAACTCTTTTGAGATGAGAGACATCCGTCCAGAAGTTGTTATTGAAGAGCGCGTAGTCGCTTATAAGCAGGTGTTGCGTGCATATGTCCGATTCGAAATACGGGCAAGAAGGAGGAATATTGGTTAGCAATTTAACTTTTCTGCAAAGCATATTTTTCAGTGCCAAAATCATCGGAACTGATTCAGAATTTACCCCTCGTGACTTTTCCTGCAGCATTATTACGTTCCAGATCATTCAGCTGGATTTAATCCTCAGTTCTTTGCTGAAAAATATGTCTCAGCATTACACCATCCGCCATATTTTCTATATCTGCCAACTTCTATTTTCTATATTTTCCACCTTCCTCTTCCTAAAAGTGAAAATGCTTCTATGCGTTTTAAGATCTGACTCGATTGCCAACTTACAGAAAGCTGCGACCGACGAAGTCAGACAATTACGAATGAAGACTTCTCTGATGCGGATGGACGGGTTGAAAGTTCAAGATGAGCAAAATTGCTTTCAATGGAACTTCTTTTGTGTGTATAAGCAGTCAAATCTCAAACTACTTAGTGTTTGAATTTCTTATTCCATTATTTGAAGAAATTATGGACCACACTATGAATGCAGGGACATATACAGTACATAATACTCTAAAATTAACCTACATCAGCTTTTAAAATTTACATGTGTGACAGATTTAGCCTTTTTGGTTTCTAAAATCCATCTAATGAGTAAAAGGAGACAGGTGATTTGAAAGAGGAGGTTCTCTGTGACACAAGATAATTCAAAATAAGTTGAGTTACGTGCCAGTGATTTCTCACTCTAAAGTTGTTTATGGGATGAATCAGAGGGCTTGAACCTTTAACACGAAAATGTATTTACAGACTGGTACATTAAGATTGAGTTTTCGAGACATGTTCAATTGGTCCTTTTGAAATATCCGTCAATTTATTGATTTTTAATTTACACGGAATAATTTATCAAAGGTTTCTGGTAATGATTTGCGTTGATTGGTGAACAACTAATTGATATCCTGACTGATTTATTAACTGAGCAAGGAAGATAGATATTACAGTTCTGGTAGTGTTTACGACTTTCAAGTAAAATAACTGTTCGTAGACCGTTTTTAACACCAGTTACGCCGAACAACTTGCCGTGGTGGCGGCTCGGAATTCATCCTCTGGAAACAGAGCCACAGAATTTTCCTGCGCGATACCGGCGAAGAGAGACTCTTGGTCGAGGGAGCGTATCAGATTCATAGAAAACTTTAAGCGCTGCACACCCAGGGTTGTAGGTACGCATGGCTGGTCGAAGGTGCCATTGGTTGCAGGTGATTGGTCAGAAATGAATTATTACAAGTCACTTTTGAAGTTATTGCCCGTTGCGTACTTGCTCAGTAAAACTGAATCCGACCTCATATGTAACGTTGAAATTCAATTTACTCGAGCGTCCAGTTGTCTAATTCACTATCATGTTTTAAAGTGACAAGCAATACAATTTTAAGAGTTGGTACAGAACTTTAGATAGGTTGCGCGAAGCTTGGTATAAATCTTGCGGACGCACATCTTTTAACGGGCACGGATGGAGTTGTGTTTGCTCTGTCACTCGAAGTTAGTCTTTTTATGCTCAGAGCCTGGAGAAATCTTTTCTTTACAAAGACTTACTCGCACGATTTGTCTCTGGATTTAGGTACAAAAGCTTGGCCGTAAGTTGAATTTAAAATGAAGAATCTAAAGAAGATTCTCAACGGATTTGTAAAGTTGGTTTTTGAGAATTTTGACGGAAATGGAGTTGGCACAGCACGTGGATTTAGGTAGAGATAGCACGAATCGGACTCGAGATGAATTCAATCAGTCTACTGTTCGAAGTGAAAAGTAGTTGTACCTCCATTATTGGCAGATGTTGCAATGCGCATACCCTGCAAGGATTCGTGGAGATGAATGCAATAAAACTTGTATAGAGTTGCTTCCGGCACGTGGCCTAAACGAATAATAATAAAACTCTTGATCTACCACATACATAATTTCTATAAATATAAGTAAGTGAAACAGCAGACGTAAGCGGGATTCCTTAGGTTGCCAGGAAAATCCAATACAGAACCCACCCAGTAGCCTTCGTGTGCGATAATTTGGACTGTAACTTTAATTGTATAGCTACATTTTTCTTTGGAGGTATCAAACGTTTCAGAGTCTCGGCATATTTCTACAATAATTTTTATAAACTCGTCGTTATTTAGTTTCGTATCGGCGAGTAGAGGATCTTATACCACATGACCGTTGAGAACCAGGAGTGATGATCCAATGAGTAGATGATAGAGATAATATCAATGTCGGAGAAAATAATGGAATGAGAGGCAAGAAAAACGAGAATATCCCGAGAAAACCTGCCAAGAGATCCACAACAAATTCCACATGGATTCTCCTGAAACTGATCCTAGGCTGAAATAGAGGAAGACATATGCTCTAGAGATTATTCTAGAAGTACCTCTTATCAATCATAATAAAATTTCACTACTTGCAAGATTATTAAACGAATCTGTCAGTTCGTCTTCATAAATTCATGACCCGTTTTATCTCAAATATTTCGTTTTCCTTATAAACCCCAGGGATCATAAATTTATTTTGTGCTCGCACACGCACAACTGTCAAGAAATAAAGAAATTTGAACAGATTATCTGCGGAAAAACTGGGTGTTCAAAATGAGCGCTTATACCAGAGAAATGCTCGTACTATATGAGGCATACGATTACGTGAGATATGATTCTTGACTATTGTGCAGAAAGAATGACGATTTGTGGCTAAAAAACTTCTAATAACCCATAGCATAACGACAAAAACTGTGTTGTATCTATGCGTTAGCACACAACCTCGACATCAAGTTAGGACCATTAGTTTCTGTTGTCATCGTTATCGTAAACTGAGATTGTCCAACGGGATGACCGTAGCCATTTTTCAAGTGTAGGGTTATTTCATCCATTATTGTTTGCATAAGGTATTCTAAGAGACGCTGTGAAGCCGATTCTTCATTTCTCTCTTTCGCATCTCATTTATCTGGTTTTATCTTTCATTTTCAACTTTAACTGAAGAAATCGTTGATAGTCCAATAGATTTTTAAGAACTATCGAGCCTATCAGCTATTTTTCTATCTGAGAATCTTCTGATATTCAAAGTATTAATTAACATTTGTTCTGAAAAATTCCTAAAACACTAAATATATCTGAAGAAACTATTGTTCCTTAGCTTTTGGAATAATTTCTCCATCTCGATAATGTTTTCGTCCCGTTTCCCTCATCCTTTAAGCAAATTCTGAGGCCCATACTTTGCTTCTGGGCATAATAGAAGCTTCACAGTGTGTCCTTTTTTAGCTCGGTGAGGAATATTGTTATTCAAATAATAGTTCTCCATGTTGTAAAAGCAGGAAGTCGATTTCTTCCTTCGCGGAGATCATGATTAAGGATAATATCCACAACGGTATGAAGCTGATTTGTTTTTGCCAAATGTTTTTATTGCAAGGGAGCAAAAAATTTTATCAATTCTTCCCCAAACGATCGTTGCTATCTGTATTCACAATTCAAATTAATATGTATATAAATTAGTATTGGAATAAATATGGATAGGGAATCCAGAGCTCAAAAAAATATGCACAGGTTTCCCTACTTCCCACAATTCATCAGATACATTTTTATCTTTTTTGGCGGTAAAGAAATAAAGAAAAACTATTCTGAATATCATAAATTAAAAATATGTTATACCATTTTGACGTCGTTAATTATGTCAGTATTCAGGTCATTTTTCCACTAGAACGAATATCTTAGACATCAATTCGTTAATACGTTATGGTAATTTTTACTATCGCTCGTACTTCTACGTAGCATAAAGAAAATTGCTGCAGTGAAAAAAGGCGATTTTGTTGGCCACAATTCAGTAAAATATTACACATTATGTTCTGTGCCATACGGTCATTTGAGAGAAAATAGCATTTTAGTGTCTGCAACGATTCAGGAGATATTGGAAGGGAATATCTTAAGTGTGCCACCCGTACGTACGTGTATCTTACAGGCCACGAACATTTAAGTAGCATACACTGAATGTGCCTTGAACTCAAAACGTGATATCTGAATCTGTCTACTTGTACGTTCATAGTTTGCCAAATCATTTATTATGTTCGTCACTACACTGCTGGAAAGGTTCAGTAAATTGCTGTGCAAGTGGCAGCGGAATTGTGAAAGGCCTGTAATCACCGCGCCGGCACTACGGGTGAGAGTGGACGTTAAGAACACCGCGCAACGTAAGAATCCATAGGCTTACATTATTTGCGCATAGTATGGCGCCTTATTTTTCTTCTCGCCTTGAGAAGGGAAATAACATACTAATTGTACGTATAAGAGTATTATACTATTACAGATTTACGAATGAATTATCTGCAGTGGTGTAGTCTATTACAAGGTTTTTTTCCTGTAACTGCTGTGGGGTTGCAGAAAACTATCGCGAAATATTCTACCAAAGAGAAGAGAGGGTACGTAATGCAGACCATGCGTTCTACCAATTAGCGCGATGTTACATCCATGCCTGTACTGAGATCAACCACTTGCCCAACAAGGGTAATCAACATTGGTCGCAATGCATGTATTAGTTCTTACGCCCATTTTTATCAATAAGAAATGGTCTTACCAAAAATTAAAGGGAAATTTGCACTTCAAAATAGGTTTATTTATTTGCTATCCTTTAAGGGAAGCATATCAATTAATATGATATTTTGTTTTACAATGTTCTTTGACTCTCCGTATTAATTCTCTTTATAAATTGTTGCATTTTTTCTTTTATAATTGCAATAAAATGCTGTTCCATCATATATTTTTTCTAAATAGAAAGTATACAAATTATTACTATCATCTGTATTTTTTTGTTTTGTTAATTTCCGTTTTGAAGGAAGATGTAGTGCACTAGACGATGGGTGTTACATCTTCTAGGTTCGCAATTGCGCAAATGCGGTGATGAGGTTTAGTACTACTATCTCATTTGTGAGTAACGACTCAAGGAGTTAGCGTATTTTGCGTATAGCGTATTAACCACAAAACTTCATTTCTACAATAGCAAATATTAACATTTGAACAACTCATAATTTTTTCATTGCTCAAGACATCAATCTTTGAAATATCAATAGCTCAAGGTTTATAACCGTCTTTCACCAACATTTTACGCTTAAAAATTTGGATGACAAATTGATATTCGTCGACAATAATTTATTTTTTGATGTATGAATTTAACGTGGCATCAAAAAGTGTTATATCTCCACCAAAATAGCGAATATGCATTGATATAGCGCATGAGGTTCGTGTTATTTTCTTCGCTATTTAACAATTTTAAACCCATTTCTCAAAAGTACTGTTTCTAGTGGATTTGAAAAAGTACGCTGCACAAAAGCAACATAGTGTAAATTATATTATAACGTAATGTAAAAGAGATTTTGATCGATGATGATCGTGCAGTGTCACAACGATCTAAAATAAATTAAATAAAAAAAGCAACATAAATTGGCTATTATTGTTGCCTTTGCGTGTTCCATAAGAATTTCATTTGATACGGTATATCGCCTCACAACTTTTCACTGTCCAAACTTTGAATGTGATTTTTTCCCAGTTTTAATAGAAATATGTATGGTGAAATGAATTTGTCCTAAAAAGTTTTAAGGAAATTATGTTTGATTCTCTTTTATCAATCACAAGTAGTTTTTGAGAAAATTCTGCATCCTCCTCTGAATTAATGCAAATTTTTAAATTATTCCTATGAATTGTGAACATTCCGAGGATCTGCTTTCTTCTCTTTGAAAATACCATTAATAATTCCTAAATGTGGTGGTCAAATGAATCATCATTATGATAAGTTGACGGCTGCAGAAAAATCCTATGACAAGAGGTGCTTTTGATGACAGCAAATATCTTCGAAACATTTTGGGGTATGAGGTTTGCTACAAGTTGTTGTAATTAATGGGGGATATGTAGATAAAATATTTTTAATGTTGGAGATTTGATACGCCTTTGATTTTAAGTGGAAGTATATATTTTTCACCGATAGCAACGATAGAAATGTTGTTAATATTCGGAAAGAAACTACAGGAAAATGCATTTTACGTTTCCTGAGAAAACACGTCCGACCTTGTTTGCATTCATATGTTTCGTTTTACTACCTGTCATTGTGCGTCCTCGCTTGGGCGGGTCAACGGAGCACGCGACCACACATGCAGGAACTGATTCCGAAGTGGAGCCGGCCAACACTATAAATAAAATATTAGGATGGATTCAATTTATTATCAATATGAAATGAATCATGATAATAGTATATTTTGGTATGGTTAGTAAGTATAAAACGTGGGTTTTCTATAATTTTATTAGCACACAAATTGATAGACGGACAGTGAATTATCATACTTCCTTTAGATCTATTGTAGAAGAAAACTAATTATAAATGTAAAGAAAGAGGAATGTATAAAATGAACACGTAAATATTTACTTAATAAATGACCAAAATTATTAGAATACATACGAGTCTTAGAAAAGCGTGCGTTTCATTGGTTTCTGATTATCTTAATTGATTGACATTCCTTTTTGGAACAGGAACACAACTATTATTCTCTCGAGTTATTAACAAAAAATTAGTTCGTTATGCACCAAGCCAATATAGAGGCAGATTAACATACAATGGAAATAAGACAATCAATCCAAGAAAGTGATACTAATACATTGGAAAAAGGAAGTTGATTTCGATTTCTATCTAGACAACGCATAGGTATGACGTCAGTGAAGGTGAAATTCTTTTCACCTTCCATAACATCCAAGACGAAAGGCTGGGAACACATGACTTGTGAGACAATATATAACAATTGCCTTCCTTCAGTTTAATTCCAAATATTAACAAATACATCTTATTTTTTAAACTCAACACCGAACGTCCCCCTAATTCAAACTTACAAGTTGTAAAAAGATAACAAGCCATCTGACTCTATGAATTTCGAATGGAAAAGAGCGAGGTAAAATAATTCTTAACAACTAACTAAACAAATAAAAAACCTGCTAACCAATTACTGACGGAATAAATGTAAAACACACTTAGAGCAACCACTCCACAATACGTGACAGCTCTAACAAACCGTTCAATATTTTACTAAGGGAAAAAAGCTATTTACCAATTCTCCTTTCAAATAACCATGTAATATACCCTTAATACCCCAAAGCAGAAATTATAGCCAACCTAGCCTAACTTTCAAGCTAAATTCAATAATACCTCATGATTTACACATGCAAATTGAAGAATATATAAACAAACCAGTGCTCACATCCCATTGAATTTATCTCATTCAATCATTCGTTATTCAACTTTCAATATCATCAAAAAGTTTAATAATAAAAAATAACCCGGTTGTGTCAATATCACCAAAATTACCCTCACATAACCACCTAACTTTGCGAGTGATAATAAACAAAACCTATTGAAGCACACATAATATATGAAAGCTATCAACAACACTAACTTGCTTCCAGTTCTTACTTCCATACTGTTCCGTATCTACACTTCGAAGCACCATAGAAAACCAGACTCCAACATAGACTTATTAGCTTACGATTCTGGAATCTACCCATGCCATGAAAACATACGTATAGCGTATGACCACATTCAATTAATTCTTCACATTCTTAATACCTGGTTTCAAATCTGGTGATTAAATATTAACCCAGCAAAAATTCCCCATTGATTTTTATCCTACCAAAAGAAAAAGAATCACCTCCACTATCAATAACATCCATCAGAAAACACTTTCCAAATTTTAACTTTAATTCACAGATACATTTTCTGTTTTAAACAAACCAAACATGATTGTTCAACATCTCGGTAAGACATTCGTAATAACTTAGAAATATTTTCATAAATTAACTGTATTTTCAGCTCAGGTGCACTCTCCAACAAAATCGAAATTATCTAGCGAACTAGCAATGCGGCTAAATAATAATTTAATTAATCAAAGACCGACATTACTTTTTGATTTTGATACCAAAAAGTCCAAGTAAAGCGTGAATTTGTAGGTTCTCTGATTATCTTAATCGATATAATCCATCGTACAATAGGAATACAAATCTTATTCTCGTACGCGAAGAATTGGTTTTGCTGCAAACCAATATTGGCACAAAGGAGATTAATGCAATCAAGCAGTAAAAAATAAGTTTAGTAACTTACATTGAAAGCTCTAAGATTCAATTTTGATTTTCCCCCCTGGCCAATAGGCTTGGACCACGTGTGCTTGCACCAGGGCTTGCATTTACCAGGGCTCAGTAACATTATCTCGGTGGCAGGTGTATGTCATTTATCATGGTATAGGCATGTAGCTAGATCCGATTTTTCAACCCAGGATTTGCAGCCTCGGAGGTATAGAAGATGAAATTATTATGGTAACGAGAGGTGAAAGAACGACACGCATGTATATACAACACTATCATGCCCGCGGTGGGACTCAAACCGGAGATCTTCTGGTCCGAGACTGCTGAGGCCCTACTGCCTTAGCGAGCACGGCAATCTAATCGGCCAATTTTGATTTATATTATTATTTAGAAAGCATTGTTACTTTCCCGTATACGTACGTATAAACGGAATATTACACTTAGCATAGGGAAAGTTATGTAATGCTGCGGAAAATCTATTTGGTGATTTCAACGGAAATACCTTTTGGGGTCCCGTGGTACCGAAAAAGTGCTTTTTATTACGGCCGTCTGTCTGTTCGTCCGTCTGTGAACACCACTAGCTCCTAAACCATACGCATAAACCATACAAATAGAAGAAACTCCTGTCCATCTGGCTCCAGTCAAAGCTTTGAGATTTTGAAAAAAAATCTATTAAATATGGTGGTACTTTACATGAAGCACCCCAGACATTTTCAAAACTTTCTCAAAAACGGCTCCAAAATTTTTCTTTAAATTTCTTGTAGAATATAGTAAAATACACTTATAAATGCCACATAGGTCTGTTAACTCTGAATTTTCACTTTTAACTCTGAATTTTCGAAAATTTCAAAATGTATTTTTTTTCGGGCGTTGAGGTGTAGGTAAGGTCTGGGCGAAAGGAGTTGTGGAGTGATGGCTGGGAGACAGGTGAGGAAATGAGGGACACTTGGCCAGGTAGAGGATCGGGGCGAGACGTGTGTGGAAATGAAGGGCGCAAGTGTGACCTGAATTATTTTTCTAAACCACTTTTCTGTAGAATTTGATGTCTTTGAACGTTGTTTCATTTTTGGAGAGTTAGTTCTTTTGGGTGCTTCTAACTCCGTAGCATGAATAGAAAGAGTGCTGAAACCTGAAATGAATGTCAAATGAAATTGAGGGGTAAAAATCCTTAACAACAGAAATAAACGGACTTGATAATGTGACCCCAATAAATAAACCAATTATAAAAAATAAAGGGACCGATTGGTTTTATATGAAATTTAATCTCATTGCTTACCAATATTTTTCTCCCATTCCTCTCGCAGATTTCTAGTCCCATAATGCTGCAACACACAGTTCATGGGTTATTCGTTCAAAGTTGGGTTCGGCTATAACTCAAAAACAAGTTTTAATACTCATTCTCAAACAAGTTTTAATACAAAAAAATGCAAAGTACGAAGTTTTTTGAACGGGTTCAGTTAAATTTATTAATATTTGTTCTATGCGTTCTTTCCGATTTGAGACGAGTGATATGATTGTTCCAAATATACTTTGGGTCGAATATTGTGAAACGTATTTTTCCCGTATGTGTTGTCCTCAAGCCGTGTTTGTACATTTTTTAATCTGCTTCTGCCCGCCAGATATTTTAGTTCCTGGTGAAAATAGTTAAGTTTGATCTTTCTTGTGATAAAATGAAACGTTTGTTTGCTCAGTAGTTAATGAAAATGAGTGAGTTATTTTCACAATTAAAGAAACGTTTTCCTCTACAGGAAAAATTGAATGACAACGAAGAGTAACACTTTAACAGGATGTTTAATTACATTGGTAGAGTTGCTAATCGCTATTAAGAAAATGATTACACTTGTATCTGATCCTTAGGGAGACCGTTTTAAATTTCGGTGTACGATATAATCTATGTACCCAGCGATTCTAATTTGATGTAAAAACTTCATCACTATAGGAAAGAGTCGGTAAGAGGAAGTAGCACAAAATAAATCATTACAAAATTTGTTAAATGAAAGTTAATAGTTGTAAGGGCATTTTCAGACAGAGAACTTATATTGGACTCCAAGTAATTGGATTCTATTGGAGTTAACCTTTCGTTTTTTATACAACGGATATTAATATCGTATTTGAAATGTGAAATAATAAGTAAATACTGTAAATGGCTAATAACGATATTACATGAAGTGAAATGAAGGAAGTCGCCGACGGATATTTTTCTTGGGGTCCTGCTCATATCTTTAATAAAAAGATCATTAAAACATTATTACATTGTTGTTAAAAATTACCAGGATTAAGAACATATGAACATATTAGAGCAAAATATGGGAACATGTTTAGATAAATGTTAATTATTAAAACGGAGTAGGAGATGAAAAGTGGAAATTCTATTCAATCAAGAAGTTTCTTGGCTATTGTCAAGTAGTTTTAGAGCTAGATGACTGGGATACATTTACAGACGTTGGTGATATTTTGAACATGTTCCTTGAATCTTTTCTTGAATTGTTGCTATATTGAGGTCTCGGTGTAGTGCTGCTTGTAATGAACCTGGGTGAAGACGAAGTTATTTTTAAAAGTTTTGATTGAAAATTTTGTAAGATTAACAAATTAGTTTTTTGGCAGTGCCACAGCTCTGGATTTCGTAAGTCCATACAAGAACTACAATGGTATTATAAATTAATAACTTATTTTCAAACGGTAATTTTAATTTGTGTCCAATAAACAAACCATTCTTAGTTGCAACTTAAACTGTTTTTTTATTTGAATGCTTTTTCCTCGTGAGACGTCTGTTCATATGATTACCTAAGTATTTAACGCTGTCATTTTGCGGTATTTGATTTCTGTTGATCATAAAGAGGTGGACAAGTTTCTTTCCTAAGAGTAAATGTTATATGTGCTGATTTACTTTCATTTGTATCGATTATCCACTTACTTGACCATTCTTTAAGTGCAGTAAGGTCATCTTGAAGTTTTTGTGATGCTTCTCGAGAATCGATATCAGAAAATATAGCAGTGTCATCTGCAAAAGTAGCAATAATATTGTTTTCAGTCTACGGAATATCTGCTGTATATATAGTACTGGTGCAAAAACACTTCCTTGAGACACTCCGTCTTTTATAGGAAGGAGGTCTGAGATTTCATTTTGGTACTTGATTTTGAAAATATCAATTTGAAAGATATGATTGTGAAATATCAAAAACGAGTGCGGTATGTAGCGCTTACGTTTATTCAGGAGGTACTTGTGCCACACCTAATCGAAAGCCTGAGATATATCGAGAAAGGCAGTAGAACAATATTGTTTATTTTGAAAGTTGCAATATATATACGATGTAATCCTGTTTATCTGCTCTATCGAAGAGTGTTGCTAACGAAATCTGAATTGATGGCCGGTACGATTTTCTTGATGCATAAGTAAGAACGTAGTGTCGTTAAAAGTAGATTCTCAAATACCTTAGACAGCATTGGAAGAAAGCTAATAGAACGGTAAGAGGAAGTTTCATGAGGACATTTACAAGGAATATTACTATAATTTTACCAGGAATACTATAATTTGGGCTACTTCCACTGAATGGCATAGCGTCCAATGCGAATAATACTATTGAAGATCGCTTTGATGAATGCAATGTCTTTACGAGGTACTTTTTTTATTAACTAACCAGTGATAAGCTCATAGTCTGGAGCTTCTTTGCAGAAAAGGTTGTTATTTATCTTTATATGTATTTCTTTAGGAATGAAGAATTTTATAGGAACTGCCAGTTGTGCTGGTAAATGTTTTTAATAACATCTGCTTTATTCACAATTTGTTGTACTCGAATATTCGGCAAATACAACTGTGCGTATATTATTGACATGCAAAGAAAACATCTAATTCTGGTTCTTTCTAAAAATGGCCGTCTCATCTGGAAGATTTGTGCAATAGACGATGTAGTTAGGTATACGCAGATCGCTTCTTTCTGTAAAATGTGATTCGGACGCTAGAAGCATGTCAATGTTTCCTTGATGTATTGTAGAAACACTTCTAACTCTCTACGATATTGGAGTTTTCCGTTGGCATTGTAGGGAAAAATTCGCTGTAAGTTACTCATAGTTTCTTCATTATTGCAGTCGTGATATTAATTAGACTGAAAATTTGTCCACTTTGCTGTGCTGAGATGACTCGATTTTTTAAAATGATTCTTGTCTTATGGATATCACACTATTTTCATTCGATGCATTTTGATTATTGATTTGCGAATATTGGGATATTTGTGTATATATGAGCTGTCGGCCTGTTCCTATGGATTTATTACTCGTTGGTGAACTTGAATTACTACCTTCAGTTTTGTTTTGCGGAGAATTTGTACTGCAGTGACTTTGACTAAGATACTTGCTGTTACAATTTTTTTGATAGACTTCGCACGCTTTATAATTTACTGGATATTGACGGCTACAAAGAGCAGATGTAGCTGGTGTGTCTCTCTTTTTAGTACAGGCCAGACTATCGTCATTCGTTCCACATTTAACCCAGCTATACGAAATTCTTACAGTGACGGAAACCGTGTTCATAGGACTGACATGGATTGATTTTGTATTATTTCTCGATTTATGCGCGGCGGTTCAAAACTTATTTTGGCATGTAGTAAATACACATTGTTATAGATATTTTTGTTGTTGCTTTGAGGTTCCAAATCCCCAAAAAACATTGATAGAGGTGCT